ATTTTTTCTATTTAAAATGTAGGGATGGGTCTAATTAACTAAATTGTTGTTGTATTTTCTTTATTAATTAAATATTTACTAACTTATTGCACGAATTCTAAAAAGGTTTCTAACCTGTTGTTTTCTACTTGACGTAAAGAGACATTACACCTCTCCTCCGCTAACTAAGCCAATATCTACGTCATCAATTGTCAAATTTCAAAATGACCATAAATGGGCTCGAAATTCAAATATTCAAATTTAAATTCCTACAAAAAGACAAAAACTAAAGCCAAAAAATTTAGTTAAATACCAAACATTTTTCGCCCAAGGCACGTTTTTAGCCTGCGGCGCTGTCCCTCTTAATTTGACCCACCTGTAAAAAAACTCACGAGCTGCGCCTGGTGCCTAAGTTAATGTAAAATTACCTTATCAAAATTAATCCATTGTTTTGCAAATTTTCTATATCAAGGACAATTTTTCCATTAACTGTGCCTTTCTTCATAATCAAAAATCTTAATAATCCTAGTATATAAAATCAAATATTATTAACTATTTACATATTTGCCGAAAGTATATAACTTCTAGCTTGGGATCAGCTGTTTGAGTAAACAAGTTGTTTTTGAGATCGATGATCTTTCCGGTTAATAATTTTACCGGTTCAATTTTGGTTAAATTCGTTTGAAAGCGCCTCGCCGTAAAGTATTTATGGTTGCGCCATCTAGCTAGTTAAAGGCTTATCTCTTATAATTTTGGTATTTTTCTGTAATTGCTTCCGTTTCACAAGTTTGCAATTTCAATACTGAGGGCACTAAAATCTTTAGTATTAATATCTTGGGTATCGACTTTTGATCGATAACAGTTTCACTTAAATTAATTTTTATTCACTATTGTTACTAATTGCTGCTACTGTTACATTTAGTTTTGTCCTATTCGTTAATATCTAAAGTTGGTAATAGTTTTTGGCACGTTTTGACTCCTTCCGCAGCTCCTTGGCAAAATATTTTATTTCCAGAATCAGTATCGATTGTCATATTTTTGCTCTATTCCTGGCCAAAATTTTATGAAGTTCAATGTCAAGTGCACCATTTCGCTATTCGAGGTGACTTGTAGAATTTTTGTAAGAAAGGTGTTCTTTTTACATCCAGCTTTCAATTGGAAAAGAGATCAGGGTTAAATAAGTAGTTACCTTTGCCTTTAAGTCTACCCTTTGGGGATTTGGACCCTGCATCTCACAAGTATTAAGTTACAGTGCTTATCTGTTGCGTTTTTGCCTTTGAATCTGTAACTTAAATCGTCGTTGTACGGATTTTGAACCAATTGTGCCTGGAAGTGGAAGCCATTTCGGTACCGTAGACCTGAGTACCATTATCTTGCCAGAAAACCCTGTGGGACAGGTAATATTATATTAATGTATTTATTTTATATGACAATCGACAATTTATTCTGTTAAATTGCCTACACATTTTCCCTCAGAACTAATTTGAGGTCTAATTTTGCTCAAAGAATGTTGTCACATGGTTTGATTTCAATTATCACGTTTTCCATAGTTTTCAATCAGTAATTTTAAAGAAAAAAAGATTTAAGAGTTCTTTTTACAACAGTATTTTCTTCTTAGGGTTTTTTTTGAATCTGAGGTTTTCTCTCCGTTTGAGAGTTACGTTACGGTCCCATTTACCCCACCGAACTGCTGCTTGGTAGAAATTCGAGTCCATCAATTGGATTCCACCAATAACCGGTCTCTCAAAGCCAGTCCTTGAGACCTACTCAAATCATCAAGTTCTGAGTGAGAACCAAGAAGTCTGCAGCTGTTTTGTGGTATCGTAACTTAACAATTGATCCTAATTATTACCTTTCACCGTTCATACATTTACCTTTTTTTTTATATAAACTTAAATTTGTACCTTTAGTTACCTAATTTTTGTGTTGATAATATTTGTCAGGTTGTCAATTGATCGACAGCGTATCAAAAATTTATCTATTGAATTTTTCTCAAGCCAGTTGACTTAAATTCCATTTATAATAATTAACGTAAATTCAATTTATAATTAACTTTAGTTGTACTTTTCATAACCTCATTGACCTTATCTGAACTGCAATAACTAGATCCAAACCCAATATTTAGATTTAATAGGTGGTTATAATCAACTAAATTCTAGCAATTAACTGTTACATAATTCCATAACCATCTAATTGAAGGTGTAAACCTGAGTGATATCACAAAGGGTAGTAATATTGCATATATTAACAAACCGGTTTATATAACATATTGGATTATTGACACTGATTTAGTTTATATTGACTTGAACCCGGATTGCCCTTGTAATTTCTTTTTAATGGACTAATGCCTAACTAACTCTAGTTTTTTTTATATATCCAAATTCAAGTCAATAGTTACTAATATCTAGGTTGGGTTATTGATTTATTACAGGATTTAACCGTTATTCAACTGAAGTGCTTGTTGTGAAAATTTACGCTTAATTGAGGTATTACTTTGCATTTAATTCATATTTTTCAACTGATTTGAGTTTGGTATTGAACTACAGTTTTTAATCTCAACTGATTTGTTGACTTTTTATATTTATTACCTGACTATTGAATAACCGATAATTACCTAATTCATTTATCTGAATATTGCTGACAAATTATCGAGCAATTATTGTATTTTTAATTAAATAAATTTAGCTCTTGAATCTTAATATATATTTGTTTCATTTGGCTCTGGAAGCTCACTCTTGACTACCAACCAGTGGCGTTACTTTAATTGAACTGAATATTCACTGGTTAATCATTTATTTATTTTATTTTATTTTATTTCATTATTCTATTTTATTTTATTATTTTATTTTTATTTTGTTTTGCCTATATCATAATATCTTGGTCTTTGGGTCCAGCCAACAGCCTGGAGAATACTGGCCATTCTGTCCAAGGTCAGTGGCGCCCATAAAAATAACCCACCCCTACTCTCCGTATTTAATTTCTGAGCTAGGGCGAAATTTGCAACGTCCTAGACATCCAATAGACCAAAGCTTTTAATTTCATAATTTCAATTAATTTTAATTACATTTCACTTTTTTTTTATTCATATTAACAAAAAAAAAGGTAGCAAATTTCTTGGCGCCCAACGTGGGGCCAGAGGAGATCTCTTTTCACTGTTCTGGCTTATCCATATTTTTATTTTTCTTCCAAACTTTAAAAAAAAAAAAGTTTTTTTAAAATTTATTTATATTTCAAAGTACGTCCGTTGTGGTCACTTAGAGTGTGTAACTAAGAGTCAAGTGATTCTGAGTTTACGTATATATATTTTCTAAAAATTTTGATACGTCGATTGATATTTGGTGATATCATATTTTATTGACAGTTATACGTATTTACCTTATCTTGGTACTGCATTTTACTTAATTTTTCTCATTAGCTATTTGTGTTGGTTCATTTAAACATATTTGCACTCATATTACACAATGGATTATAAAATGAACATTAATTATCTCCGAAAGGAAATGCTTGTGCATGAACTTGTAGTCCGTGGCATTGCTGTTGATGGTTCACAAACTGTGGATAAACTTAGGTCAACCTTGCGTCCTTTGTTGAAATTGGAAAAGACTGCGAACCTAAATATTCCTGCGTATAGTTTGGTGTTTGCTGATGAAAAAGTCGAGATCAGAACTCTTTTGGCTGATGCCCTTGCGGCAGTTGGTTCACTTTCCGAAAATGGAGAGAATAAATTTTATTCAACTCAGTCTCGGTTGGTTCATCTCTTGAACCGAACTCACAGAATCCCTATTTCCATTTTAACCCCTCAAGAACAGAGTGAAAGAGCAAACCTTTTGGTTGAAATTCTAGCTGCTTTGGATTTACTTGAACATACGTCCCGGCAAGATCCCGAATTGAGCCGTCACCTTAATTTTCATGATTCTGATGAGGAAGTGCCTTCTCGTTCAACTCCACACAATTCCACTCGTCTTCCTGCTCTTGTTCCAACACCACATTCCTCAAAGTCCCAAAATATTGAGAAATGGAATTTGAAATTTTCTGGGGATAGCCAAAAACTTACTGTTCACAACTTTCTAGAGAGAGTTACGGAGTTAAGATTGGCTCGTAACTTATCCGAAAAACAAATCTTCGATTCTGCTATCGATCTTTTTGAGGGCAAGGCTCTAAATTGGTTTCGAGCCAATAGAACCAGATTCAATGACTGGATTGGTTTGTCAGAACTTTTGCGACGACATTTCGAACCACCTGATTACAAGTCAAGGCTTTTTAAGGAGATTTTGGATCGAACACAGGACACTTCTGAGAGCATTATCGACTATTTGTCATGCATGCAGGCTTTGTTCAGACGCTATGGTACGTTGACTGATGATGTTCAACTTGAGATTCTTAGTGGGAATTTGTCGCCATTTTATTCCACCCAATTACCTAGTGTGACGACAATTACAGAACTCGAGGAGGAATGCCTCAAGTTAGAAACGAAGAAGTATCGTGTTGACAGTTACGTTCCGCCTTCTCGTAAGCGTCAGCAATTTGTTGAGCCCGATTTTTCTTGCATAGGAGTTGAAAGTTCCCATTCCCAACCTGAAATGCCATCTTGCTCTTATTCAAATTTTAGTAGACCAGACTTATCAGTTGCTGAAGTTTCAGCAGAGCGTCGAAATCCAGAACAATCGAGTACAATCGAGTAATCTGAATAAGGGTCAAGGTTGGACAACATGTTCTGAATTTGAATTCTTGGATAATCGCTTGCCGTCAAAAATTGATCAATTTTTAATCCGGGCTCGCGTGGGAATTTCGAAAGATTTAATTTGCAAATGATTTTGTACAACGTTCCGGGGCTAACTTCCTTCAGAGAAGCCCGAAGGGTGGAAAATAATGAATATCCTACCTTCTAAGCGGCGTACGTAGCGTTAAAATTGATCTGCGACCATGGACTCGCATGAGCTCCCAACATCTCAGGGACGTGTTCGCTTTGATGCTGGTGCACGCCTCTTTGGAGGAACCACGGAAAACGTTCCGTCGGTAAGATGGCTCGTCATATCAAAACTCATCTGGATATTCTCGTCGAGGTCGCTGAAACGATCCTCAACGTGGACGAACGCGCTCGTGTTTTGCGTTGTGCTAAGTTTTGCGTACTTTTTGAAGAACTCGAAACGTTCTTGAGAGAGTGTTCATCGAAACTGTTGAATTGTGACATCACTAAAGAGTGGATCCGAGGTTTCACCTTCTCGGACGACGAATACTCCGGGGACGAAGATGACGTCGCTTTCGATAGTGACGTAGACGAAGTCATTGGCGACGATGACAGCGTAGACGTCGTTATGGAAGGCGACGCTACCGAAACCGACCACGGCGGCAAAATCCGAATTCCAAATTTGAATGACGAGCAAATGTTATTCGCCGCCGACATTATAGATTCCGTAAAGAGGAATCAAAATCGGGCCTTTGTATTGATGGCATCAGGAGGAACGGGTAAAACTGTACTTCTTAATGCCATCTTGGAAGAGATAGATATTATTATCTTGCATCAGTTTTCACGGGGATTGCGGCCACTTTACTAAAAAACGGGGCGACTGCACAAACCACGTTTGGGTTGCCACTGCGAAAGCAAAAAGATCCAGAGTCTTCTGCATTAACTTCGAGCTTATCTGCTCAATCTGAGGAGGCGGCGAAAATCGGAGCCGCCAAGCTCGTCGTCATCGACGAGGTTTTCATGCTTTCAAAATGGATGCTAGATTTGTTGGAGAATGTTTGTAGGTTGTTTAGTCCGGATCCTAATTCTACTCGTCGTTTTGGGGGCAAAACTGTAATCCTTAGTGGAGATCCTAAGCAGTTGTTGCCTGTCGTCAGTGTGTCATCTGGTCGTGTGGCTTCCGTCATGGAATCAATTGTAGCTTCAAGTGTGTGGACGAATTTGCAAAAGGCGACGTTCCGCAGAAATATGCGCTTGGGCGACGGGGAAGTAGCTTGGTCCAAGTGGGTTGGAAAATTGGGGGCGGGTAAGATTCAGGGGCAAGCCAACCACTAAGCTACAATCGCGATTTTACACTCAGAAATATTAGTAGACATAGCAGAAGAACTGACTGATTTTGCTTTCGGAAATGTTTTTAAAGCCATCGAAGCAGCTTCCGGCGAGGACGAAAAGATTCAGTCGTTAGCCGTCAGCCTTGCCAATCGGGCGATCTTGTGTCCTATAAATGCCTCAGTTAAGTAATGAACGCGGAAATCTTCCGGAAATTTCCTGATCCTCGTCGAACCAAGCGAATTTATCACGCTGCCAATCGGTTCGTCGAAGACGTGGAGACCAGGTTTGCAAATCCACATGCACCCCCACCTTTGTTATGCAGCTACGTTTATCCTACTAATCGTACCGAATTGCCTCCTTAATCCTCAGACATGAATCCGATTGAGCACGTCTGAAGCTGAATGAAGTTGAAACTTTCCCGGGGGAACGTCAGCCAGAAATTCTAGACGATCTCGAGGAGATGATTCTGGAGCTCTGAGAGTTCCTATGGAGCTAATTAACCGCTTAATTTCGAGCATGCCAAGGCGGTGTCAGGCAGTCATTCAGGCTAGAGTAGGACCAACATCACACCATATCACAGTTATTTATAACACCTTTTACACCCATATGCACCGTTTGGACTTGGGAGTTTAATCTCGTCAGTTCGAAATTTTACATACATATGTGGCAAGACAAAACCATTTAAAGTGATTGAGATGAAAAGAAAAGACTTTTTTGAGTATTCAGCTTTATTCAAAACGTATTTCATAAACAAAAAAATAACCGAGGCTGGAGAGCAGATAATATGGAGAGATATAAAGTGGCTGCGATATTTTTCAGATCAATTTGGAATAGTGGAATAAAAAACCACACTAAAACATGATGAACCGTTCACAAGGATTGATTTTAAGCGTAAATCAAAAACATCGATACCCAATATTATCAAGTCCCCACTAAGCTATAGTCTGGCAAGTGGTAACTTGGTAGAGACGAAAGGGGGAAGAAAAGTGGGGCGTGACCTAAAAATATTCACTGACACCTCAACTGACACCGCCTGATGACAGCCATGTCTTTGAGTTCAGTGGCACCGAAAACACTAAGGAAATGAACCAATAAAATTATTAGAAAAAAAAACTCTAGTTTCGCCGATAACCACGCCACTGCGTGCTGTCGTTCAGACTCTAACCAATAGAATCATGCCTCTGAATAATCACGCCTCTCCACATCCATCGTTTCGCAATGTTGCCGGATTTTTTTCTATTTCAAAATATTATACCTGCCCATATAGCAAAAAAAAATATGTCACCAACTTGTTTATTATTGTTTCCGTCAAGTTTGGCAAAGCAGCAAATTCTTTTGGAGTCCGCCGTTTGGCTAGCCAGACAATACAAAGGACCTGTCTCAACTAATCGGAAAAAAAAAAAAAAATGATAGAACTATATGTAACCGTATGTTATTAAAAACTTTCATTCATTTCATCAAAATCTTTGTACGAAAGATCATATTCCCAATGATCTCTTATTAAGCGATGAAGAGTCAAGTGATGAATAGTAATGACAAGTTTTGCTATTTTGAATAAAATTATACAGGGTGTCCCAAAAAGATACCGACAAACTTTAAGGGGTAGTAGGGGACATCAAAACAAGCATTTTTGTTTATATAAACATATGTCCGCAAATGAGTCATTTAGGCTGTAGAGCAAAAAAACTGTTTGGTATCTAGTTTTATTTTTCGCAATAATTAAATCACTGTTATATATTAATTTTGCTTTAATAGCAAATAAATTATGGTTTACAATAATTGTTCAACTCGCGAACTCTTTGGAATATTCCGGGAATAGCTTCTACATGGGTAAAACTCGCCAGTATCCTTGCTATCAGATCTTCCTCATTACGCACAGGTGTTTCGTAGAATAAACTTTTCAGTCAATGACCCGACGGTGTAATCTTTGCATTGGAGTAAATGGTCAACATTTTGAACAATTATTGTAAACCATAATTTATTTGATAATAAGGCAAAATTAATAAGTAAACAGTGATTTAATTATTGCGAAGAATAAAAGTATCAAACAGTTTTTTTGCTCTACAGCCCAAATGGCTCATTTGCGGACATATGTTTATATAAACAAAAATGCTTGTTTTGATGTCCCCTACTACCCCTTAAAGTTTGTCGGTATCTTTTTGGGACACCCTGTATATCCAGAATTTGTTATGTATATAAGAGAATAAAGTTTTCTGAGAAAGTACAATACCAACATTTTATTTAATTAGGGAAAAGGGGTATAATATAGTTTTTTCCCAATTTTTTACGTGTAATGGGGTATAAGTAATTTTTTTTCCATAATAATTGATATTTTTGAATTACTGCTACATACAATACCTTAAGGACATAAAAATAACTATTTTCATGCAAAAATTGGATATAAAAAAACCATTAGTACAGTGGTGCAAAACTGAGATGAGCTCGATAATGCTGATAAAAACGAAGAAGTTAAGCAAAAATGTATTTATATATTCTATTTTCAAACCGTTTCATGTTGAGATTATAATAATTATGCTTATCTAAATAAATACACACTATACCCCATACAGTGTCTTGTCAGATTTTGTTCACACCATATCGATAATTTGGACACACTGTTACAATTCACCGATATCATATCATACTGCCAAGGTACGCTTCCTGCAGGGGTAATAAAGAACTCAGCGAAAGAGTCTCTGACTTGTTTAGCTCTTTTACACCTGTGCCTATAATTGGTATGTCATCTCGCAACTCAGTGTATCTTCAAATTTGAAACCATCTCCCAACCCTTCAAAATTGTGTAAAAGGCAGGCAGCTAAAACTATGACAGTTATAAAATCGGGATCGAGGTGTATGGCAGTATGAAATATTCGCTAAAATGCCGAAAGCGCACTCGATAAATCTTCTTGCCTTGAACAATCGCTAATTGGAAATGCGTTTTTTGTTATCCAGATCTTTTCTTGCATATGGTCTCGTCACATTTCCACTCATAGCGAAAGCCTCGGCGGCTACGAAAGTAAATGGCATTGGTGTATTTGCATTGGAATTACGTAGCTGTTTTTTATCTGGAATATTTAACGAACCAGAACATAATTTGTTATTTAAAAGAAATTGTCTAAAAATATTAGAATCTGCTTACTTGCCATATCGTCGGCGATACCGCAAAACCACGTAACTAACAAAAATTCAAAAATGTCATTTTGGCGGCAATCGGTTTATTGTATTTGTGGGGACGCGTGTTCAAAACCTCGCAACTGGCAAAAAATTCCAAATATTTTTAAATCGGAACATTCAAAACCTCTTATCTGTTTGACGAAAAAAACGCAACTGCAAGAACAAGTATCTAACAGTTGCCGATGGTGATTCATCCCTGTAATGTTGTTGTGTGCAGTTTTTAATTGGTAAGTTCATTATTTTTATTAAATTAATGTTTAAAACAGTATATTTTTAATTTCAACTGGTGTTTTAACACAAAAAATATAAATTTGTTTTATTTTTAAAGCTGAATTTCTCAAAAAACGCATCTGAAAAATAACGTGCAGTTACGTGTTTTTGCGTTTTACATTTCTGAATAATTGTTTTGTATTTTGCAGATACTGTTTTTTGCCATGGCATCAAATCGACCACTTTCAAACTTGCAGTTGCAGGAAATCCTAGAAAGTGATGAGTTTTTTGAAGACCTTCTGGTATTTGATGATTCAAATGAGGAAAATATTATACCCGATTTAATAAAAAATCCTGATGAAACTAGTATTGATGGAACCATTGCGAGTAGGGCCAATATTTCACCAACCCTTGTTACTACTGCTACCGACGCAATCCTAATTCATAATAACGACATCGAAGAACCTGAAGAAAGTTGCAATCGCCCAGATGACGAAAAAAATTCACCGGAGCTGATAGAAAATAACCATATTGCTTTAAATGAGTGTATGATATTCATGAGTCCTACCAAAGTGAATTATTTGATGACATGGTATACGAGAACTACCAGGATGGTATTATTATAGTAACTGAACTTGATACAAACAACGACAATAATGAAATTGAGGTAGAAACAGTGGAAAATCAAAATTCAGCCAACACTGTTCAACAAGAAGCTGACAACACTAACAGCGAAGTAGAAACTATGGATGATGAAAATTTAGCAAACAATGAATTAGAAGCTGAGCCTATGGAAATTGAGGCAGAAACACAAAGATACAAAGAAGAAAAGGATACAAGAAAAAGAAATAAGAAGTTAAGAGAAAAAGGCTGTAAATATAAAACTTTGAGAAAAAATAAAATTACCGGAAAATACTCCTATGAAAATGAAAATGAAGAGAGAAAACTGAGACCAACATGTCAATCTGTTTTATGCAAAAAGGCAAAAAATAGGTTTTGCAACACCTTCACCCCCCTTGATAGAAAAAATATTTTTTCAAATTTTTGGGAAATGTCATGGGACATGCGGAAAGTGTATGTTTCATCATTAGTCAAGACAACAACTACTCGACGTCCCAAAGAAGATAATTCCAGTCGCTTACTGACATTTGAGTATTATCTAAAAAAGGATACTGAAAATCTCAGAATTTGCAAAAAGATGTTTTTAAACACTTTAGATTTGAAGGAGTGGATGGTGAGAAATTGGTTAAACCAAGCAGCTAATAATAAGATAAAGGACAGCAATGATATAGCTATGCCCAGTAGATCAAGATTACCTGTAGAACTGAAAAAAGGATTAGAAGTGTTACAAACCTTTTTGGATAAACTTCCTAAATTAGAATCACACTATTGCAGACCATCAACCCAAAGACTGTACTTGGAACCATTGTTTCAGACAAAGACTGATGTATACCGTCTATACAAAGATTATTGTGATGATAATAATGCCATAGCTCTAAGTTTAATTCATTTAAAAAAAAAAATGAATATCAAAAATATATTTGTCCACAAACCTAAGAAAGACCAATGCGATGTATGCATTGGCTATAAGACTAAGAACGTATCGCAGGAAAATTATGAGACCCACATTAAAAGAAAAGATGAAGCCAGAAAGGAGAAAGAAGCAGACAAAAAAATGACAATGGAAATGGAAAATAAAGAGATTGCAGTCATAACTATGGACCTCCAGTCTGTGAAGCTGGCCCCTGTACTGCAAGCTTCTGCTATTTATTACAATACCAAATTATGCGTTCATAATTTTACGACTTTTAACTTAGTAGACAAAGAAGTCTCCTGTTACTTATGGCATGAAGCTGAAGGTGGTCTTGAAGCTAACATTTTTGCAACCCTTATCGTGAAACATCTTTCTAGCTTTTTGGAAAAAAATCCGCATACAAAAACCATTATTCTCTTTAGCGATGGTTGCGGTTACCAGAACCGTAATTGCATTTTAAGTAATGCATTATACCATTTTGTCAACGAAACGGGCATAATTGTGAATCAAAAAAATTTAGAAAAGGGACATACCCAGATGGAAGTCGACAGCGTGCACAGTTTGATAGAAAGGAAGCTTAAAAATAAAGATATAAATCTTCCATCTGATTACATTGAAGTGTGCAAAAAAGCTCGATTGAAGCAACCTTTTGAAGTAAATTATTTGGATCATACTTGGTTCCTGGATTACTCAAAACTGGGATATTATAGCAGTATTAGACCTGGCCAAAAAAAGACTGATTTACATGTTAATGATATAAGATGCCTGAAATATGAAAAAAATAATGGAATCTCGTTTAAGAGTAATTTTTCTGACAATTGGACTGTCTTACCTCAAAGACTGAAGAGTATAAATGCACAGATTAGCCAATTATACAAAAGTCGTATTAAAATTAAAGAACAGAAGTATCAACACCTACAAGCCCTCAAAAGTGTCTTACCCTTAGATGTACACGAATTTTATGATTCATTACCTCATTAATTAAGTTTGCATTTACATTTGTTTATGTTTTTTTGAAAAAGTATTTTTATTTTGTATTTTTGATACCTATAAATAAATAATTTATGTTAAAAACATGCATCTAACTGTTGTTTAAAATTGCAGCATCAACAACGCAAAACCTCTTAACTAGCAATTTTCGCGCAGAGGAGGATGTCAAAACCAAGTATCTAACACTTCCAATAAAAATAAGCAAATAATTTTCCAAAAAGTGCACAGACACTGAAATAATAGTTCCCAAGTGGTTTGTAACTATTTTCCATTAAATCAAATTCACTAACCCAAAATTGTAAGGTTTTCAGTGCCTCCTGAAAATTTTGGTTTTTGCAGTTACTTGGGTTTGCGGTGTCGCCGACGATATGCTCCTACATCAACACTAATGGAACAATAATTTGCATCAGCAACACCAAGTAAAACAATAGAACAATAATTTTTATAATTGAAAAACTGTAATCCAGAATGATCAGGTTTTACTAATCCCACGTACTTCCGTCAATGGCACCGAGACAGTTTGGAAAGTTGGTCCGGTTCTCTAAATCCTCGGCTATTTTCATCCAATCTTCTGTGGTTGGCTTCGGCATAAATTCAAATGATAATGATCTAAATGTGTTTCCAGTTGCAAGGAACCTGTGAATAAAATAATTTATTCATTCAAAAAATTCATACAATCATTATCCTTCGCTGCATCTAAAAATTTCAGAAACATGTAATATTAAAATAACTTTTTAGCAAAAGAGCTTCAAAAAAAATGGAAGTCCATACGGGATGCTTTTACAAGAGAAGTACGTTTACAAAAGCAGCCCAATGGAAGTGGTAAGCGAACGAGAAAACGCTATATTTATTTTGATCAGTTGCAGTTTTTGTTTGACTTTGAAAGAGCGATCGTAAGTATTTAATGGTGAGTCAGAGCATGCCCAGATTGGAAAATATCTATAAAAATTATTTCTAGAAGTTCTAGCTCATGTCTATTTGGTGTTATTTTCAGAACCCTTACAAATTTCAATACTGAGGAGGCAGAAAGTGGTGATGAAACTCAGAATAAAGAGCATGAATCTGCATGAAAATGCAAACACTTTTGAACAAGAAGTTCTCCGGCACATTAAGTCAGGAAGACCTAATGAGAAAGATGATGAAGAGTTTTTTCTGTCATTTCTTTTGCCAATGTTCAAGAAGTTGGATGATCGTAGAAAACTATGGGCCCTCATGAAATTCATGGAAATAATGCAGCAAGCAATCAGTTTTGGAATACCTATGTCATCGCCAACAATATTTAATACGAGTAATATTCCTGCACATCCCTCATTCATTGATAACAGTCCTACACATCCCACATTTGCCACCCATCAAATAATAATCCTACATATCTACAATTAGCATATCCATCTTTCTTCAATAATATTGTCAACTAGCTGCTTAGGAAAGGAGGACCCAGTATTTTCTTCTTCGCTTTTTCCTTAAATAGTTACCTCTAGACAAAAATTGCTAAAAGCATATTGTCTTCTATCGCTTGATCTGAACTGATGTAAAAAAAACGCTGTCGCAGGATTTTAAGTGTGGCCATGTGCAAATAATTTACAACGCCGCGACCGTACTGTAACAACATGGAGAAGAAATTTCTTTTCTATGATAGAGAATCGAAGAAATGGAACTCCCTAACCCCATTCGGCTAGAATCGCTACCCCCAACTACCTGCTCGTGTCAAAAGAAATAGAAAGACCCTTTCGGTCTTGCTATTTTTCCTTTTCATTCTACACAATCACAATTGACGTAAGCTTATCTTCGTCTATTTTTTTTTTTGATTTTTTGTTTTGATTTGGGATTTAAGAGTGACATAAATTTTTTTGATGTTGACGGAAATAGCAGTGAAACTGAGCATAAATGGAATTAAACTATGGGAGTTAGAACAGTGGAGAAGTAAACCGTAGATTACACAGTCGTCATAATTGAGAATTCCCCCATATGAAAAAATCATGACTGGCACCCCCATAATTCGCATTTATATTGAGAATAATTTGGCTTTTTTTTACTTCTTTTTCTGCTTGGGTCATGGGAACCTTTATACAGCCTGGTGTAATGGTTACAATGGGTATACACCTCCGAAAGAGCTCAATATGCAAAGACAAAATGAATAAATAAAAAAAAATAACATTGAGAATTTCATACATCTGTCAAAACTGGTATTCCAACAATAAATTGACATGTTTTGATTGTTGATTTGAACCAATCAGATTATAATTACGCGATAATTTGCACTAGTGCAAATTATCAGATAATTGCATACTAACTGGTGCGAAAACTGGTGTTTTGACATTTTTTGACAAAAAATTTAAATTTTTGATTTATGAAATTCTCTCATTAAATACAACTCGTGCAATGGAAATATATTTATAATTTTCGACAAATTTGCACTCATGCGTTTTTAACTGAAAAAGGCACTCGTGCACTATGTGCACTCGTGCTCTTTTTCAACTAAAAATGCATTCGGGCAAATATCCCAAAAATTACCAATAATTTCCATTGCACTAGTTATATTACTATTGACAATCAAAAATTAACTGTCAAAAACACCGGTTTATCATTGAAAATCGCAAAAATCTAAAATCTCTCACAATGTTTTCATATTGGTTAGTATGCATTTCTCTATAAACGAACTTAGTCGAAAATTCCAGGAAAAAGTCATAGAGAGTAGCAGTTGTCGATAGAAAGAATTTTTTTTTCTTTGCTATTATTTTTCTATTTCTATTTCTATCGAGTTCGCCTGCTGGTCGTGACGTTTGTCATTTCCTAAATTACTGGCCTATACTTTTTGATCAAAAAGTAATCTTTACTAAGTTTTTCACCTTAGAAAATATAATACTGACATATTTTTCACTCCAATCCTTATTTTGCTCACCTTTTTTAACATCGCCTTGAAATGTTTTCGTAGATTGAACAAGACTTCTCCACCCTGTATCCAGCCTGCGTATTCTGTATCGTCATAGAGAGGAAATTTCTTTCTATCAACTCTTTCTACCACTTTATCTTATTCTGTAAGCTGCTTCGGCGCCTGTCGTGTTTCACAATGGTTCGTTCGGTAGAGAGGGATAGAAAGACCCATTTAGGTCTTGCTTTGATATTTCTATTATCCCTGTCTATTTTTAACACACTATCAAATTGGGTGATTAAATTATTTCAATAAGTGACATAAGTGTCAAGTGAGTAAATTGCAAACAAAAAGTTAACAATACATTTGAGGACGTTGAGTGACCATATTAAAAATCAAAGAAATATCATGGGTAAGTTCTATCTAAAATCAATTCCAAGGCTTTAGCATAATTTCTCAAATTTTCATGTACGTCATGCAGATGATAAACGTGATTTCAAAACTCATCCTCAACAATGGAATACCATCGTCAATTTTGGAGAGGAACATCCAACAATTTTCAGGCCCCAATTTAAACATATGGATGGTGATGCTAGGCAGAATGCAAAATTGTGGGAGGAATTGGTCGAAAAATTAAATTCCACGGGATTTGGGCTGAGAAGCGTTGACAAATGGAAAATGGTATCTTTTTATGTGACTCATATACCTTTTAATGTGTAATGTCACTCTATAAGTTAATAATTTCAAATATTGTTGTAGGCAATCGGCCGATGGAAGTCAAAAACAAAATCGAAAGCTGCCCAATTAAGGATCGAGGCACAGAAAACTGGTGGTGGCCCATCAAACGCCGTTCCTTTCAGAAACAGAAACAGAGGAACGGCTAATGAATTGATTGGGTTGGAAATCAGTAACTGGGGATGGAAATGAGAATTAGGAATGGTAATTACAACTATAACACTAAAAAAAGGGTTGATATCGATTAGTGCAAATAAGATTATATTCGAATTGGATAATTGTGTGTAGAATTGCAATAAAGATAAGTATTTACAAAATTATCAAAATGTTATTTACAGCGACCCATTGCGGTCCACCTGCCTTTGCCACAACCACAACACTTGACAGACGAAGAGAATGGCCTACCACCCCCAAAGGCACATCCTTCCAACAGCACCGGAACAGAAGGTGCTACCTGTTTGCCCAAATCTCCTCATTCTCCTCCACCATTGAAACCATTTAATCGCCTACCACCACCAAAAACACACCCTTCCAGCATAGAAACAGACAGAGCTGCCCATTTGCTCAAGTCTTCTCCACCATTAACATCATCGAGTGGACCAGCCAGGAAACGCAGTCGGAAGTCTACTGAAAAGCCTGGGAAAGTGGTTTCCATGGCAAAAATGCATGAAGAGGCAATGGCAGAAAGAAGGAAACTAAGAGAAATGATCAAGAGACAGGCCGAAGCCCAAGAGGCAATAGCGCAAGCTTTGAAAGACCTTTCTGCTTGGTACAGAACTCAAAATAATATCAAGTCATAAATATACTAGTTAAAACGAAATAAGGGCCACTTTTAAAAACCCATTTATTTTTAATGAATTTTTAATAATCCTCGTAAAGTATTTATTTCCATTTGCAATATACATTTTTTGTGCACACTTTATTTGTTTATCTATACTTATTGCAAATGGAAAAAGTCACTTTAATAAAAGCCAAGCTCTTAAAAGTGGTCCTTATTTCGTATTGACTAGTTTATTTATTAGTTGGTGTCTTGTGGATTTTTTTTTTCTTAGGGAATAGTTTAGAAGTGAGAGCTGCTCGAGCTACATGTGAGGCTGATTAGAAAGTTTTCTTTAGAGATTTGTTGTTTAAGTTTTTTTTCCAATAGGTATTTTCTATATTTTCGTTTCCTTTTTTGCATATATCAGTTAAATGTTGTTTAATAATAATTTTGTTTTGTTTTTTCATTTATTTTATTGATGTGTCCGATTAAATATTTTGGAAATACAATTGTATTATATTAGCTCTTCTCGCCTGCCCTTGTACAAGCACATTTCTTGCAATACCAACTCCTACATCCGCAACATCTTTGTCGTCATCACGTTGCTCCTCTTCATCATCTTCG